ATCAAACCTTTTGAAGGCACATCCTTGAAAAAATACTATTTATATATTATATTAATAACAAATTTTAATAAGTCGCTTACTTTTATGAGTCTGTAAGGGTATCTAAATCCCGCTATTTCCTGTTAAAACATAAAATCTGATCATAATATTGTTTGGAGAGGGGATTTAAAGTCTGTAAGAGTATACAAAATTAAAAAACCAACCCGTCTCCCACAACAACTTGGTAAATTTCACATTTAAATTCAACCAGAATTCTATCACTTAAATACGCCTATAGAGAAATCTCTAATTCCCGAGGTCAAGTTTCATCTAAAGGAAGCCACTAAAAGAGTTCAAATATAAAGTATATAAAATGACGTGTTTATATAACAAATAGTGCACTACAATAGTGTAGATTTCAGTGTAGAATTCGATAAAAACTGTTAATTTTTTTTTTTGTTCCAATGGAGCAATTAACGCTCTTCGATTCTGGCATTGTAAATACAGTATTACTACACCTAGCCACTCAAAATAATGCGTGTATCGCATTCGTCGGGGAAAATAATGGCAGAATATTTCGATATGATATCATCGCATCTGTTTTTTTCTTCTTTTTTGGCATTATTTTATATTAAGCACATAATAGGTAATAGTATACTATTACCGATTTGAACCGAGTGAACTATAATACTATATAACGAATAACCATATTTTCATGACAGGATATAACATATAAATTATACCTAACGTTGTGAACATCAATGCATAATTACAACTGTAAAATATATTATCTATTATTATATGCACGGTAATATTATGTATAGTATAATTATTTCAATACGTAAAATAACACGTTAACGCGGAAATAATTCATATTAAAATGCTAACCAAAAAATCGATATGCGCATATACCGTTGTCAAAAAAAATTTTTGGAGATAATATTAAATTTTTTTTTTTATTAGCGGAGGGATAATGATAGTTATAAGGTGTACATTTTAAAACAGTGAAAGCACTCGTGTATATATTAAAAGCCAGATACTGCTGATGAAAGAGTAAACTGCTCACCATTGCTCATAAAAGACGACCAGGTCCAAAGTATTGTTAGCCGTATTTTATCAATTGTTATCAAGGTAACCCAGTTATCAATACAAATTATACGAACAATTGCTAGTTTTTCTTTTGTAATAAGGAAACTACAAGAGATATTAAAAAATAGCCTCTATAATGCATCAAAAATAATAAAAATTCTTCAAGAAAATTCCTACGAATTTATTAATTGAGATTTCTGGCGGAAAAGTTATTAAAAAAACACATCATTTTAAAACCACTAACCAATACATCATTGACTTTGGTCAGAATCTAAAATTTACTGCTATAGATAAATTATCTTTGTTAAAATATTAATGATAATTGAACTCAAACATAAAATCTATTATTTTAGCAGACTTGCAAATGAAAACTTAACAAATGACTTCCACAATGCACCAACTAGATAATATTTGCTTTCAGAAACTATGCTACACATGAAAATCAAAGTTTTTGTTAGAAAAGAAGAAAAGTAGGAAACATTCTTCATTTGCTCAGAATCTAATAACAAAATCGTTTTCCAGAGGAGATGATATTTTTCAAAAATAACTTGTTGGGTACGTTGTATTTAAATATCCATAATATATTCATATAAAGAAATAAATAAATAGATTCTATAAAGTGAAATATTTTCGAAAAACGGGTTTTTAGGTATAACCATCTTGAACAATATTCCATGCCTCGTTTATACAGAGCCATTGTCTGGTTGTTTTTGTTTGCACTGTACATTGTTTTTAGTTCAAAATACTGGCGGAAAACGAAATGCGGAACAATTAAAAAAAAAAACTAATAACGGTTTCTTTAAATAAATATGCTAAATATCTGGGTAAAAATTGTGATTTGGAAACACTGGTAACAAAACACATATTTCATATATACTCTGCAAGATCAAATGATTAAATTTTGAAAAGAAGAAATACTATAGATTATGTTAAAAAGGCGTAAAAAAAAAAAAATGCAATATTACAGCAGTTATTATTTGATGAGGAGTTTTTAAAATCCGTATAAAAAAAAAATGTATAAAAGCCACCCCCTCCTCTGAAAATCTCTGACCAGGGACGTCATTGGCTGGATATGTGGAACCGAATTTATTACACTACTATAATACAGACTGCGCAGTAATGGAACTGGGTTAAATATATTACAGAAAAAAGACCTTTGGGACTGCCGGAAGTGAAATAACATGGTAAAAGAAAAAAAAACTTGAGAAATTAAAGTGGTGCACGTGGTGGACCAAAAATACAACTAAATTACGTGACACGAAATCAGTTCAAAAATTAATGGTTTTTTTCGAAAGAATTTTTTCTGTTTTTGAACATGTATTCGTGAAACAACGGTAACTCCGAATGTTGACTTATTTTTTGGCCACCTTTGTGTTGTGAGATGATAAGTCTACTGTATTTTAATTTCCACTTAACGACGTATGTTATAAACTCCATAGCCATACAAAGTGTTTTAAAAAATATGTTGGTGTTGAGTTTAATTTTTAAATTTTTTTTTTAATATAAGTTTCATAAAAAATGAGGGCGATGTAACATATTGCTATAGAGCTGCTTGTTTTTTTTAAATTTTCTTAAAAAATAACGAATTTATTTCGAAATAATCATGACATTTATGATACAATGTTTTGCGTTCCGTGATTTTTTTGCGGACCGCCGCGGATTTTTTGATATTCTGCGTGATGATGAAAAAATAAAAAAAAAAAAAACGCACTGCGGTTACAATAACATTACAATGACGTAAATAATACGTATCGCGTCAAATTACAATTTCAACGGAAAACGTATTTATAAAATATAAAACGGGTATTGGTATCAATTGTAACGGCGTTATTGTCGATAACGAGCGTAAAATACGATTTTATCCGAACAATTATTATCACACGATGGAAAACACACACCGTGTGTGTTCAGTACGCGTCTGCGACAATTTTGCATTTGTATTTTTTACGTTCATTTGATGTTCGCGTATCAAACGATCGTCGGCGACGAGGAGACGATAAACTTAAAATTCCGATACGTGATTTTTACGAAAATACCGCAAACGTCAGTATAGTAAATCGACATCCTTGTAACGATATTATTATCACTGTCATCATTCATTCTTCGTATACCTACACAGGTACATACGTTTCCTTGCTACGCGATTCCAACACTCTTATTGGATTCTGAGCGTGGCGACGAATGTACTGGTTTTATTATGTTGAGTGCTTTTTTTTTTTTTTCCACGTCTGATTTTAACCACTTTTCTGCCGGAAATCTCGCTCCGATCAAGCGACGACGAGAAAGCTTTTTTTGTAGCGAATACCGTCTAGAATTGATGCGTCAGAGACGTATAATTTCTCATGTATTTTGTTGAAGGAACTAAGGTAAAACGTCGGAAAAATGTACGGGATAAAAAATTCTGTTTTTATTTATTTTTATTTTCGATATTTATTAAGATTCGGTAAGAAACACATAAAAGCATTTTCTAAACGTGATCTAATTTTCAAAACATTCTGGCGATTTTTTCTATTTTTCGTTTTATGTTGATAAAATATATGGCTGGCTCCACAACTATTTTTGAAAGTTTGACACAACGTTTATCATGAGTTGTTCGATGGTTCTATAATATAAAAATATCGAAAATCCTTAGTCGCGCCTTTTTTTGTTGGCGTTTAATATCCAAATTCTGAAAAATCATGGCTTTTCCGATCATATTTCATAAAACTTCACTTAGAAACGATCATGAATAATTGTGTTTTTTCTACCTTCCAAACTTTCTAGATTATGACAGAAGCGAGAAATGTATTGGGTTTTCTTTGATGTGTTTTTTTTTTTTTTTTTGTTTCTGTAAACGACTTTTTGTTATTAAAACTCTTGGTTGAATTAAAAACGTAATTGGAACTATAGAACTATACAATTTACTAGATATTCGATGTATTATGGAATTGATTTTGTTTTATTTCCTTGACGTTTTCTTAATGAATAGGAAAATTAACAATTTTTGTTGATTTCTATTTTACCTTGACAATATTTAATAAATTATGACTCATAATACTCGGCACAGAATCGTATTTCATTTGCCACGATTTCTCGTCAGGTAGGCTATTGAATAACCTACCATAGTTATCTGCCGTTTTGAATCTTGCTTGAAACGGTTGCACACCCATTAGGAATATCAGCCATTATGTTTTTTAGATTCTTAGCGGAGGGAGGAATGTATTGGTTACACAGAGATGATTATTTTTTTTATTTTTTTTTTTTCCTGTGAACACTTTTTCTACCAGAAAGCTTACTACAATTATCAATTATAGGACCGTTTGTGAATGTAAATGTTTTCTGGATGGTATTTTACAGGGATTATTTTTTAAATTTTCATTAATATTCGATATAATGAAAAAATCTGCTTCTTTAGGTGGAAAAAAATTGAAAGATTAAAAATAAAGTAATCATTTTCAACCGTTTTTATTATTTTAATTTTTTTTTTTTTAAACGATCATTGTTGTCATGGAAACTCACGTTATCGTAATCATTTTACCATAATATGATATATAATAACAAATTAACATATTATTATTGTTGACAATGCAACACTATCAACTGAACTCCGTTCAGAAGCGTTTTTTTCGTTACCAATGGTTTATCGTTGCATACGTATGTACATCGAATTCCCGTCTGTATTCTTCCCGACTTCCCACCCGCAACAGTGGCTGCACCCACGTGCGTGGAATGCCAGTCCTTTTTGTTTATCGTAATTCAGTTAAAACAGAGACTTGACATTTCGACAGAGCAATTATATTTTTTGTTTTGTAATTTCTGTCTCCGCGCGTATTTTACACGGGTACCTAGGATACGCGTAGCATATCGCGTTGTTCATCGATCAACAAAAATATCGAGTTAAATTTTTAAATTTTACACTACAAACATTGAACCAGACGCGCGATATTGTAGACATGAAACCGTTAACTTCGGCGCCGGGAACCCGCAACGACGACGGATCGTCGGCGCGCAGTGATAGCGAGACGCCGATCGCCAATTGCATTTTCCACAATCGCCATAGCAATTCCACGGAGCATAGTTCGACGACGTCCTTCGCGGACCGGAACACGGCCGGCAGTACGACGGTGGACGGCGGCGGGCGGATGCGGGCGCGGCCGTCGCGGTCGGACGAGACGACGGTGAAGCAACGGCACCGCACGTTCGTTCTGGAGGCGCTGTTCCGGCTCTGGCTGGCCGCGCAGAAGTACGGCTGCCTGGCGCGCAACGACACCCGTATACCGGCCGACGCGCGCAAGTACTTCGCCGACCGGTTCGCGGACACCAAGCACCGGGTGGACGGGTTCGTGGAGCACATGTACCGTCTCCGGCAATCGGGCGGCGGGCGCAACTCGTACACCGACCTGTACGCGGGCGTGTTCCAGCTGGAGGCCCGTTTCAACGCCGACATACAGAGGTACAAAGACCTACTGATCACGACCGGGCCCGGGGGCGGGCCGCGCTGCGGACTGTATATGTGCTTGATGAACTTGATGCGCTTCTTATGCGGCAGCGATTGCGGCAATAACGAAAAAAAATGACGTCCGCGAAGTGACTGGATTTTTCCTCCGTCGATTTCGTTTCCAAATCGAAACAAAACTATATGCACGGTGCTGTATAACCAATCAGTTATTGTGTTGTTGAAACGGTTCTGCCTGAAATTATTAAAAATTATTGAGAGAACCGCAGTTTTATTGAAAAAGCGTAAATTTGTTAGGAAAATTTGCGACAACCGCTATACTGTTGTAATAGTAGCCGGTAACGGTTTTGATGTAAAATCTGACCGTTCGAAACTATTATATTTCAAATTTTTTATGGACGTACCGTACGATAGCATAATATACAGAATGATGAACATAACGCGTAATACATACATCATCATAGAAGATATTTTTTTCGAAATTTATTTTTTAGAATATTCACAAGAAACGGTCGGCTCTAAAATGTTACGTTGTTTTGTGTTTGTCACCATTATTTTTAGAGGCTGAAATCACTATACGTTTTTGATTTTTGATATAGGTTTTTTTTTCGTTCTTTTAGACTATCTTGTCACACAGCAAATCCTCTTCCGATTTTCGGCTATCTCCTTTAAATCCCCGTTTCCTTGGTCCTATCTCACGATAATTGAAAAATCCTTTGTTAAATGCTATTTGCCAAACATAGTCTTGGACTTTTACCTCTTGGCTTCTCTTGGGGTTTTTTTTTTTTTTGTCACGGGGCTATTGAACCCATTCAATATTACTTTTTTTAAACATCATTCACAATATTTCGCCGTCCAAACAAATCGTCCAGCTTCTGAGTCTGTCTTTATCGAAACTTATATCTTCCGCAATATTTTCCTCTCAAATATACGTGGTCTTTTGCTTTTCTTAGTGGCCAATATTTCTATCCTTACATAATCATTGGTCTTATAATCCTCATGCACGGCTGAATTTTAACATTTTTCAAGAGGAATCTAGAACTCAATAGATTACCTAACGCACCGAAACAATCATTTCCGAATTTTATTCTTTGCTGAATTTCTACTTGTCACTCGTTTATCTGTGTTACTACAGTGCCTAGGTAACTGTCTAACTTTTAATTTAGTCTAACCTACCGTTATTATTTTCAAATAGTAACCTATAAAATCAATTATAAGTGCGTCAATACTAAATACGAATATGAGGGCTGTGGCAAATAAAACAGCCTTTTAACATTTTAAAGCCGATTGTTGAAAACGAAAAGCCACGAAAAAAATATCATACTTTTCAAGATAAAGAGTGTCTTACGTTATGTCGATCACCCTTACGTATCTGGGTACGATTTGTGGGGCTTGTAAAGGTGCGGATTCGCTACACAGAATTTTCGTTAACATTTTAACACACTAATGTTTAAAATCAGAAATGGTAGATTTTAATAGTCATCCTACTAAAGGCTTTAACCTATATATAAATAAAATTCTAGAACGCTAAAAATACGATAAACACAAAGTAATTGAGTTTTTAGTAAATTTGTACGTTTTATGAAAAAAAAAAATTTCATTGTGTCAATCGTTTTTGTAACGTTAGACAATTTTGTTTTATAAGTTGGAGCCTTTAAAGTCCATAGAATCATTCTACCATGTTTACGTTTTTTTTAAATATTTTTAAGTGCTTTTTTCGGTCTTTTTTTTTTTTTTGTTTATAAACTCTATATTTTGGATTTTAAGCCCATATAAATCTGTTCCCGTACAATCCATAGCTAAAATTATTGTTTGTTATTTTAACAACGTGGGTCGTAGTTATGTATAGAAAGTACGTCGTGTTAGGTCTTTGTATGCATATGCATTTTACGAGTGTATAATAATGACGTGTTTTTATTTAATAAACCTTTACAAATATTTTCGTTCAAACGGTAAAACTGGAAAGGAATTATACACTGTTATAGTTAGGGTTAGGTATTTGAGTAGGTTCGGTAATTCAATTGGCTACCCGGTTTTGTACAGCACTTTATTCAAAGCATTTTATATGTTTCGCCCACACAACCCTCCCACTCCCATACAAGAATAATTATTCGATATACTTGTATATACGGTATGGGTGTACGACGAGGGTCCCTGCAGCAGCGGCGAGGTCCGCAAAATCATAATAATTCGGTTTCAAACGGAGCGGCGAGCCAAAATCATAATTATACCGTACAAAGTTCTTCGTGAAAATATAATAATGCGTATAGGTAGCCGAACGGAGGCCAAATTTATGCAAACTAACTTTTCACCGCTATAAATACGTCTCAAAAATGGGAAAACTTTTTTTTTATTATTATTATAATTATTCTCGTGTTCATCGCCGGGCATTATACGGACGCGCGCCAAACACTCCAAAATCGAATTCAATAGTAAATATTTTAGGAGGACGACAATCATGAAAAATATTACGGATTAAAAGTTGCACTAATGTCTCGCTTGAAAAATAAAGTCGCGAAACCCCCCCCCCCCCCCGACGTAATTGCACCCATCGTGCGGTTATCTATTTAAGTATTATAAAGTACGATAGCGTATTGACATACGTTTACCGCTAAAAATTATACTATATGGATAGCAAAAAAAACCGAAAACCACTTCTAAACTCGGAGAATAAACTAATCAGCTTAGGCGTGCACAGGAGTTTTTTGCGGCGTGTGTAGAATAGGTTTAGTTGGGGTAGTCTTTGAAATTGAAGGGGACCCGATTCTCTTGCGTGTCGTTCTTTTTTTCCGTAATAGGTTATAATAGGACACGGGGGCGCTCAATTGTAAACATAAATGATAGCCACTTTTAGATTTCCAGTATTTCCAGAAGTTTCAGTGAACAAATATTCCTTCAATCGGTTTTCCCGAGAAAAATTTCTTCATATTTATGTTGTTTATTTATGCTATAAAACGAATGTACACTTTTATAATTTGTAAATAGATATCTAGGTTGTTAAAAAGGTAAATAATAACAATATTGATAACGGCTAACGAGTGCTGACGGTCCGGAATTATCGAAAAACATATTTTCCGTGATTACAATTTAATCTAAAACCATGATGTTACCACATAGATCATTTGACGTGTATGTTTAATGTTTATATCAAAATACTGTTTACGAAAGTTGATAAATGTACGGGTATACAGTGTGTCCCACCATGTTCGACGGATTTTTCTTGTAGTCCCCTAAACGCGAAAAAAAAACACTGTACTTATTCGCTTAAGAACATTTTTAAAATGGCCATTTTGTAAAAAGAATATTATTCTAAAAATTTTAATGTATCGTACATTCATATCCGATTAATAGTTTCTTAATTTTAACTGCTTTAATTTCTAGAAAATCGGCATGAAAACAATTAATAGTCAATAGAAGGTAAAGAATTACCGTGCTGATTGTAATCCCTTATGTACGAAAACGTGTTATTTTATCGAGTATTAATTGTTTTCACGTCGATTTTCTAGAAATTGAAACGGCTATTAATCGGATATAAATGTATGATACATTGCAATTTTTAGAATAACATTTTCTTTTACGAAATGTGTGTTTTGAAAATATTCTAAAGTGAATAAATAAAGGGATTTTTTTTTTTTTGTTGTCGTTTAGGGGATCAAAATAAAAATTTAATTTTTCTTTAAATCCATGGTCCCACACGAAGAAAAACCGATTGATAAAAAAAAATCGAAATAAATTCAATATTTACAGCGCTCTAAAAAATCCGTCGAACATGGTGGGACACACTGTATGTGATGTAGTATAGCCGATACATAATTGTATATATTTTATAAAATATATAATTTATAATATATTATAAATAAAACAATACCAATATTTTATTTCACAACGAAAACAAACATTTTAAGCGGGCGGAATTTTTCGCAGGGTGACAAGTCATTAACTAGGAACGATAATTTATTTCTCCGTTAAACGATTTCCTATTGACCATATTTTAAGTAGGATATCTTGTTTATTCACCGTGTATACGTATAGGATTAATAAAGTCGTTGATTGTAGTTTGATAAATATCATTTTTTGCTGGTTCTGTTCGTGTAGTTGATGCCACCGGTCTCGTATTATACGCCTGTTCTCATTCCGTTCCAATTTCTTCTAGCGATTCCCTGACGCCGGTCTCTTTTCTTTTATCATATGTGTCAATAATATTAGGGATGCGCATAAAATCCGAATATCTAAATTCAAATTCGGATTTTAATCAATTTCTTAGTCGGATTTTATGGATTATTTTCGAATTTGCTGTATTTTATGTAACCAGATCACCTTATTTTCTCAACCAACGCAAGACGACCGTATCATATAACTTATTGTGATATCTAATCTGGATTGGATACAAGAGGGTGGGGGATCGAGAGAGTCCCTCCCCCCTTGACAGTTATATTATATTTGTAGTTTTAATAGTATGAGATAATAATGATGATAAATCGTCGTTCACATTTCGGTGGTTAGACCTGCAATTATTACATTGATTACGATCGCGATAACGAAGATTAGTGTTAATACTTGATTGTAATCGTATCTGAATACAATATTTAGTGTCCGTTGTTAAAAATCAATATGAACAATTTCACCCTTCCAAAACAAAATCCTACATCCGCCAATGTATCTAATGACTTCTGGCACAAATATCAACCAAATACGATTGATTGTTATAAAACGACTTCTCTACACACGTACGACATGACTAGTATGAGTTACATTTACACTACATAATACAGGGATTATGGTTAAACAATAACGATAACTAACAAAAGAAAATTCGGGTAATCCGCGAAATCCGGATATGCCCATCGCCAGTGTCAATAAACTTTTCAAGATTAAAACCATGCAAGTGAAACAAAGTGTAAAGTATAATGTATTAATTATTAAATTGCGTAAAACTAAATTAATGTATTGATTTAGCAATTCAAAATTAATATACCGCATTAGCTTTTATGATCAATAATCGCAGTATCAGTTATTATTATCGTATCATTCTTTTATCGGGAAACAGCGTGACGTAAGCGATGTACGCAGCCCGAGAAGACAATAATACACCTTAACGTAACTTAGTCATGGTTAAGTCTAACATCCGAGCTGTTCCGGTCGAACGTAAATTTGCTATGTGTCGTTAGTTTTTAACACGGAGACAGCTCAAAATGCGGTTCTGAATTCAGTGGCGACACGAATACGGTATTTGAGGAGCGATTGCTTCTCGATTTTTTTTTTTCTTTTTTGAAGATTTCGAATACGTGAATACGCAATGTGATTACAACTAATTTATGTAGGTATTGTGTTTTGAACCGCAAATCTAATGACAGAAAAATAACCCCCCCCCTCCCCCCGAAAATATTCACTTATTTCCTTTTCGGAAAACCGGCCTATACGACGAATAAATATTTTTTTAACTATTTTTTTGGGTACGTCCTAATCTTTGGCGTTTTTTTTTTTATTAGGTGTATACGAGTATATTATATTCCTTCGGGATTTAACTCCGTTCAATAAGATAAAAAAAAAAAAAAAAACTGCAGCGAGATACAGCGCTACGCCCGACGCTATACGGAAACTCGTTAATTTCCTATGAAAAGTTTTCTATCTAAATTATTATTTTCCGAGAGCAGACTCGACGGCGACGACGGTAGAGTTTTTGATTCGCGTAATATATAAAACCATCGTGATTTCCGTAAATGTGCGACGGGATCCGCAGTGAAGTCCGCAATAATAATAATGACAATTATACATTTTGGCATTTATAATAACGATTTCCGCGACTTGTCGGTTTTAGGACGGCATTTATTAACCGCGAATTTATGTGTTTTATCGCGGACTCGTAATAATTAAATTTCTATTCTGTCACTCTCGACGACGACTTTTCCTTTGTGAGTGCCGTTCTTAGCGAAACGGTCACGCCCGAAGATCACGGAAAACCGTCGGAGGAACAAGAAGAATAATATTTTCGAAACGTACTATTTTATTTGCAACGGAAAGCGTATTTACAAACCGAAACGTAATCGCGACAGTGGATTTTAAAAGTTTTACGAGATTTCAGAAATCTTACAAGACATATTAACCTACCGGATCGGTCCGGACCCGGTACTGATCCAAGGAAATTAGTGTCTATAATTTGAACATTAAACCATTACTCAAGTTGGAAAAATATAAGAAGAGGGACTATATTACGACTTAAAATAACGTTCGCGTCATTTTCAGTTATTGAACTCGACATGACTCGTGGGACTTTGCAATAATTGGTGTGGTAAAGCCATGTAAACATTATTTTTACACATGACTCAGTGATTAATAATTTCTGAAAAAAAAAATGCATTGCCTAATAAATTTTTTTACATACGAATTTCAATAAAACCAAAACGTTTTGACCAATGTTTTATTTCATTTTTAATGTTAAAACAATATTATTATTTCGTACAAAAACTACGCATCGACCTACGGGTAGATTGAAATATAAGTGATCAATAATCAAATGACAATAATCTATTGTACTTTAACGGTGCACTGATCAACGACAAATATGCACTTGTAAATTAATATGTATTTATGATTTACGAAATTGGGTGACATGCATTTTTATTGCTGTCGAGACGAAGAATAAATTATAAAATACTTGGGTACATCAATATATTGGTTAAGAGAATTTCATATCTGCATGTGTTGGCTCCGTCTTACTAATGCACGATATATCAAAATTACGTTATTCGGAATATAATTTATCACTAACGAAACGTAAACATTTAAAACTATTTTAAAAATGCAAAAACTAAAAAAAATGAAACTTTGTAATGATATTTTCTTTAAAAAAAAGCTACGCATGGCCTTAAAAAATATTCTCGTCTGTACGTATAGTAATTTTTTTTTATTCTCCAATTTCAGCCTAAAATACCATAATTTACGTTCTGATTACAATATAAAAATCATTACAGACAGACGGATCAGGTGTTTTATACGTATTTAAGATATTTCTATTTTTCTTGCAATTTTTGGATATTTTCAGTAACTCCCTCTGGACCAAATTAGCTTAAAATCGGGAAATAAGGTTTTTATCGGTGGATTGGAGTGATAAAAATTGGATTCATTTTCAATAAGAATTTCGCAAAATTATTGTGGAAGGAGGATGATTTTTGTAATTTAAAACCCCTTCGGTTCCTTTAAATGCAGCCGGAATGAAGAGCGTGCCATGGGTGTCGGGTTCAACTTTAAATCCCCGCCTCTACCTTTTTTTTTTCTAAAATGTTTTTTTAGAAAGAAAATATAATTGTAGTAAAAGAATTCATTGTTATTTGGCTGATTGTTATTTGAGAATATTTCTGGACCTTGGATCAAATGGGCCAAACTCATTTTTTGTAAAAATGTATTGTAGGCCATAGAGCTTAACATTAATATACAATAATTCGATGTTTATTTAACAATGCTAAAGAGGCATTGTGTCAAATCTCAATAGTTGATATTACATGAAACAAATGGACAAATGTTGAATAAAAAAGATATTTATGCTATTTTAAAAGTGATCAATCCGACTAAAACCTTTGAAGTCAAAGATAATTAAAAGAAACTTTTTCACCCAAAGTTCAGATTTATAAAAAAATATATCCTTTCTTTTTTGATTCTGAATGGAATGAATTGGTTTTACGATTATGTTTATTTATTTTTTCTGTGGACAAATTTTCTATCAGCAATTTTGCTCTGATTTACAATGATAGCGCTTTTTCAGAAAGTAAATTTGACTGGGGTGGTACTTTAGTGAGGTGGTTTTTTGATTCTTAGGATTTTTCCCAAAATTTGGGGAAAATATGGTAAAAACAAGAAAGAAAATAGGAATATAGACACAATTTTAAAGAAATAGTATTAGAAAAAATATATGTAATGCAAAATATTTAACCTAACCTAATTTCAACCGAACTCCGCTCAGAATCGTTTTTTAATCAGCAATGATGTATCATTGCATACAGACATATCAGTATATTGCATTATAATATTACCCTTTTACTACCTTCCTAACTCCTCACCTACAACAGTGGCTCACCTAGAAGTATGTTCGTCTGTTTTTTTGTTGTTGATTTTTGGTATCTCTCGGTTTTTTGACACTGACAAAAAAAAGAAGGAATTAATAACTCTCCTCGTCCTCTATAAAAAAAATACTTATATATCTTTAAATCACTTATCCCGATATTTATTTACATCGATATTCACCGAACTTTTAATCTATTATATTATTTTCGTAATTGTTTTCCGGTTTTCCTTACGCGTAAATATCAAAACAAATCGGTACACGCAAAAAAAATTTTATTAATTGCAATATATTTTATCGATTCCGTGTGTTTAGAATACATTATGACATATTTGCGGCTTCAATAATAACATTACCAATGTTTATCGACCGTAAACAACGCCGAATATCAATCTAATATTGTATTATAATATTGTTTGAAAACCATGTAGTGGCTTATTTACGGGGGGGGGGATCAAAACGAACAATCCCCCCATAGACTGTTTATAATATGCAAACAATTGTAGTCATATTATTTAAAATTTATTTATTTTTTTTTTTAATTGATTATTGATTATGTTAATTGCAAGAATTAAAATATTGTAAGTATATTCTAATTGGTATCTCTTGTCAATGACCACACCGTGGTGATCTCTATATAGAGATATACCTGTGATTTCGGGTTCTCCTGGATTGATAATATTATTTTAACGGGGTAAAAATCAAGAAAATTAAATTTTGTATTGTAAAATTTTATTTGCAATAGTTATTGAATTTTGTTTTAATAAAACATTATACAATGTTAATAAGTTATTATATTTTATGGAAACATTAGGTGGTTAGGCGAGGGGCGGAGCCTCCCTCAAGTTTCTTAGACTACTGGATAAAATCATATCTCCCTCCAAGACAAAAACCTAAATACGCCACTGCGACCGTGGCTCAAAAACCTGCAATATTCAAAAAAAAAAAAAAATAATAAAAACGTTCGTAACACAATCGTATAGTTGTCATTATTTTACGTGCATATGTGTTGATCAATATTTAATGTTTACTATACGAATATGATAAATAATATCAGTATGTTATTTGTCATATTCGCATGCATGTCAGTACACGCATCAATAATTCCATATATTCGTTTGAAAAATAAATATACCTATACCGGTGCATATTTGATGGTATTGTTTGCACAGTTTTTGACATAAAAGGCGTTGCACTCGTATAAAACCTTTATGTACATTATCATACATACGAATTAGGCATTTTCGATTGGGAAATATAAAATTAAGCCGTTTGAACACATAATATGTGTTCAATTTGTTTTCATATACATGGTAAAACAGGGTGTTTTGTGAGGTTAGCACATTGAGTGTACGTGACATTGAGTGTAGGCAACCAGGAAGAACGGACAACGGGATTCTAACAAAGGATTCTCGGCACGCGCCACGGAACGGCGATAAGAACGCGTCAATAGCGGCAGTGGTAAGTACGTCAAGTACGAGTGCCTGCTCCATATAGAACATCGCCCCAGGACAGGGGCGTCGTTTCAATTTTTGTATTGTCAGTGCCAACATTTTTGCAGACTATTTTAAATCATTAACAGGCTACAATTATGGGCACTTTTTCAGAGGGTAGGGGCAGACACTTGTCCACTTGGAAATATACCTCTTTTGTCTTCTTTTTTTTTTTTTGCTTCTTCTGCCAATTATATTGGATTGGACATTATTTTCCTACACCTCCACAATGATCTATCCCTAACCTCTCATTTATTCAAACCAGCTATTTTCATGTCATCTTCTATTCTATCCAACCACTTTTTCTTCGGTATTTATTTCTATGATCACCATCACTGCCACTAAATCACATCTCCCCATAACTAATAAGTATATTCTCTCAGTCGAATTTCAAAATGGTACAATAATATTAATTCCACTATATTCATATTTCTATATTTTTCCACTTACTCTTTTAATGAATAAATTTATTTATTTAATTTATTAACAAATCATTATACAAATTTAAAAGTACATTTTCAATTGTCATAAAACAATATTATACATTCAATACTTGAATTAAACGATACTTGGATACGTGGATATCTTCGATTTTTTTTAATTTAAAAAATGTATACACTCCGCCATAAGGGTTAATTTTATTGGCCTAGTTTTTGTCAACACTAATTAGTCACTTAGGCCCACATCTCCCATAACTGGCCTACGATTATTGATTTGACTTTATTGACCTTTATTACTATACATAATTTATTATAATTGTGTACTTGTTAAACACCACAAAGAGTAATAGTTATGAATATTATAAAAGTTAGTAAAAATAATTATTATGCAATATTTAAGAACTGTACGTTAAAATTGACTTTTAACTTTGAAATTTACTTAATTATAGTAACGCATTAGAAATATGCTAACAATTTCTAGATTATAAGCATAGCAAATTATGCACTTGTTACATTAACTTGATTATGATAGGTTTATTGTAACAGTTCAAAAAATGAATCGAAATTAAAAATTATAAGATCAATTAAAACAAATATTTTATTGACATATAAAAATGTAGGTAGATAAATAATATAAAATAGGTACCTATATTAAATAGTAATTTCTAAGTTGAATAAATTAAAACAAAAGAACACTGGAAAACAGTTATACTTACAAAATTATTTGGTTTCTGATTTTCAGCTACTGCTGTAGAGAACATACCAAATAAATTATGGCATTTGGAACCCGCTGTCAATAAATATTTTTTTATTTTTTTCTCTTAATCAAACCACACCTTTATATTTTTTTCGTTTTTGTTTTTTATAATACAAAATACACACGTAGAATACAGGTAATAAAACATCTAATTAAAAAAAAATTCGTCATTTATGTCAAAATTGCTGACTTAATAATAATTAATCGATCGAATAAATGTCATGTATAAAAAAAAAGACGAACATAATTCGCACGTGGGTGCAGCCACTATTGTAAGTGGAAAGTTGGGAAGGTAAGGTACAGACGGAAATTCAATGTATATCTGTAAGCAACGATAAACCGTTCCTAACGAAAAAACGATTCTGAACGGAGTTCAGTTGATAGTGCTGCTTTGTCAACAATATATAATATGTCATAATTATGGTAAACTGATTACAACAAATGTACGTTTTTATAATAACTATGATTGTTTAAAAAAAAGATTAAAATAATAAAAACTCAATAATAACAAAAAATAAATAAAAACGGATACCAATGACAATCTTATTTTTAATATTTCAATCTTTTTTAGCCTAAAGAACCAGGTTTTTTTCATTATCTCGAATATTCATTAGAATTTCAAACAATTACCTCTTTGTTTAAAGAGTTTAGGGTTTTTTTCATGTTTATCAACCCAGATAACATTTCTTTTCAGAAAAGGTGTTATACTTGATAATCGGATTAATTTTTCTGGTAGAAAAAAAATTTACATAATAAAAAAAAATAATAATATCTTTGTAAAACCAACACATCCTTTACTAAACTCAGAATCTAAAAATATAAAAATTATATATTGATAAAAACTAAAACCACTAAAATATTAGTTGTATAATATTCGTTTAATAAAAATAAACGATTTCACGTCCTTCTTGATATAGGTACTGAAGTAGTGTGGTAGGAAGTAAATGATAAGTTTTAAAATGTTAACAAGGGATGTTATTTTTGGACTTATTTTTTTCCCTTTTGCTGGGAATTATTAATTTCGTTGTTTTATCATTATCACAATATAACGAGTAGACAATAAAGTTCCAACGACCTACGGGTGATGTTTTTTTAGCTTAGAGAGATCCTCTCGGGGAAAACAATAACATACGTAAAAACGGTGCGTTTTTCCCTAGACTACAGGCCAAGTATCTATGCGATCATTCCACAGATAAATATACTATACAGTGCAGTATAGTATATTTATCTGTGGTTCATTATTCTTATAGCGCCTATAAATAATAATACAATTATGTATTTATTATAAATTTTTTTTATGGTTGTCGGTCAGTATTATAATATTGTCAGACTATGACGAACATTTTTTTGAAATTAAACACATTAGCACAATACATTTTTAATTTTTCTAAATACTAACTCAATATATGGCATACAAATCTTAGATGTAAAAGCGCTTGTATTTTATTTTTGGCTGACCAAAGATTTTTTAAAAACCAGTTGGTGTGAATGTACATCCTGCACTTTCCTAAATGATCGCCACTGCCTAAGGAAGAACGCACGGTAATCTACAGCCATAGAATATCGTGGGCCACACTAATCCATTGATTTCACTGACCTTAACTGGTCATCTCCGAGACGTAAATTAGTATTGCAAATATTATAATAAAATATATCATAACGATCACTGTGAAATCGTGTAAGTCTTAACTTTACCGAAGTCACCTCTATTTGTAGCACGAGTATATCATACACTAGATAGAGGTGACCTCAATAGACAGGACGTAATAATAGTTACAGGAAATTGTCATACACTGCAAATACCCTGCAATATATGCGGCAACTCGTATTGTCCGGAAGAACACGTGCGTGTATAGTATTGTATATTTTTGATAAAAAAAAAAAAAAATCGGATATCGCTTTCAATAGTCTGTTTTATCGATATTTATGGTATTTGGTCATGGTGACCGTAACTCGGTCTACTGATATTACTTATTGAATTTAATTTCAAATTCTCGAAAATTTTAATGCCCGATTAATCGCTGACGCCCGATCATGGGCAAACAATTATTATGCATCAGTCCTCGAGCATAAACCGGATATTGATATGAACTTTATTCAGATTATCCAGATAACTCAAATGTATTTAATCATCTGCAGAAGTCCAGATAGGGGAGGGGCTTAACGCGTCTCCAAAAAATGACATTTGTATCAATAATATACAATGAATAAATCATTTTAAGATACCTACATTGATTAAAATTAATAAAGTAATTATTGAAATATTATGGAATTATCCGGATGTCTATCCGGTTTATCCGTTTTGTTCAAATCCGGATAATTGACATCACTACTCTCTATAAAGGAACCCATTTGTGTAATGAACTATTCTCTATTATAAATGAAATTTTTCCGTCTTAGCCGAGTAATCAATATTTTACTATGAAAAAAAGTAGCCCTTAAGAATAATCGTGAAACCCGCGCTGTTTACACATGCAAAATACCTTACGTCACTCACCAAATTAAAACTACCAGTACCGCTACAAATAATACGGCGAGATAGTACCACTGATAAAAATCACTCTGTATTAATCATATTGTTTGTTATATATAAACAACTTAAAAGTGAAATTAAATATTAATGAGTACTTGTACCTATTATAATATAATTGCGTTGATTCGAGTGTTTCGACTGGTGAATTACTATTTCATAATACTGATTATCGTTTACTATTGTGTAGACACACAATTGTATTAAATATTTTAACGACGGAACTGAAATTTTAACAATAAAACACTTTACACGGTAATCGGTTTAGGGTTCGGAAATTATATTACATTTAAAATCAAAAATCAAAACGTCAAAAAAAAAATCCTGAAAAAAGCATATTAAAAGTAGAAGGGTTTAAAAGTACCCACCCCCCTCTCTAATGACTAAACTTATTAAATGCAATAATACTGCACAAATAATTATTACAAATAATTATTTTTATTTTTTATAATCCGTGCCTGTACAATTTAATTTAAGCAAACACTTCTTTGTATAATATTACGAGGGGGGAAGGAGACTTTTAAATCCACCTACGATAATTAAATTTATTAATTATTTTTCAAGTGCTTCTCTGATTTTTTAAGCTTTTTATACATTGTCATATCAAATGATCCAGCGATTGTACACGAACATTTTCAGTAAAATTTATTTTGGTGTTTATATATCAAATATAGAATAATTTTATTTACAATATTTTCAACGTTTTACTCTTATCCCCTTTGATAAACATACATTATCTACAACGTTTGTTTTTCGAATAGTAACCTATCCTTCTATTTTCAAACCAGGAGGACCGTAGATTCTCTTTTTAAAAATATTCGTTTATAAATATATTATATTTTTTTTGTTTTAGTTAATTATGAAAATAAATTGATAATGTCTTTTATATTATTGTGGCAGGTGTGTGGAATGGAAACTTCTGTACCCTTCATCTGAAAAGTGAGAGGTTTGAGTAATAATTATAATCAGTAATACAATATGATGTAAAATCCGTCAAAAGGTACGCTGAACGGGGATGTGGCTATCCTCACAAGTCTGCACCTACGCTCGAGTGTAAATAAATCGTGATAATTTTTGCACCCTCGTGAATATTCGATACCGAGTGCAGCTTACGCCTATACATTATACTCTTTTAGTTAATTGTATTATTATACTAGTTTCGACATGAAATTTTGGATTTTTTTTTTTTGTAAACAATATCTATACGTATTGAGACGAGAGAGAGAAAAAGCCAAGACTTTGTACCGCGCGGGAAACCGCTCGGGAACATCTTTTCGTCGAATAAAAGAAACGCCGGTGTTTTTTTTTTTTGTTATTTTCCCTATAACGTTAAAAACACGAGTCGCACGCGAGTCATAAACGAAATGAGTTTCGCCGCACATAATTTATAACGATAATGGCGCGGTGTTAATACTTGAAAAGAGTTTATACATGGGAACAGGAGGTATAATATGTATATATATATATATATATATATATATACGTAAAGGTTTGCGTAGTCTTTGATCTTCGCACCAATTATTAGTGAAACAAAAAAAAAAAGTAATAATAACATGCAAAAAAGTGAGGGGAACGTTTATTTTTCAATTAAAATCGTGTACTATTAAAGCGGTAAACGTATTCAAACAAAGTGCATATTACGCGTAATACTGCGTGTATAGGTATATAAAATTTCCGGATGTATATACGTGTATCGCCATAATGGTAACTTCTCAAAGACTCGCGCGGTAATAGATTAATGGATTGGCGAGCAAGCGGAACGCCTTCTGCTGTGCGGCGTTTACACGGGGTCAAAGGGGATCCCCGTGTATTATATAAAATATTATAATACCGTGTACCTATACAGGGTACAGGACGGTTCGCGTTTAGAATAATTTATTTGAATTCGAAGCATATAGATTGTAAGCATTTTATTGAATTATGTGCGACTGCATACATACATAAATACATGCGCGTTATATCCGCGGGGCTAGAGGGTGCAAAAATCTATGCGAAATACATTTTGAACGGCTTAATCAAAGGTCGGTAATAGTAATCACTATAGGGCACGTTACGGTCTGTACGCGTTTGCGTATTTGCGATTGGCCGGTCAACAAAATAACTAGTTCGTGAAAACAAATTTTGAAAAATACGGCCATGCTTCGCACGAGAGTGGGCCACTGTTGTAGGCGAGAAGTTGAGAAGATAGAGGGGAAATTGAATACATAGTTATCTGTGCGCAGCGATCAACAATTACTGACGAAAAACGATTCTGAGCAGTGTTCGGTCTATATCGTCGCGTTGTCAACAATATATATATATATATATCACATATGGTAAAGTAAATATGCAATTTTACTAGGTTAAAATTGTTTTAACCACATAAAACCAAATAAAAAATTTAAAAAATAGAAAATTTCAAATAGCTATAAATAACTGAAAAATTATCAGAATGATTTGAAAATGAATGTTTTGGTACACCAAGCGTTTCTATATAAGAGATTATGATATATAAATATTCGGTGACATTTTTAGACTGAACGATTATAGTTCACCGAGTTACATTAAATAACCAAAATCGAATATAACTTAAACCGTTATTGTTTAAATAATATAATTTTTCCAACGTTTTTCTCGTGTTTTACCCGTTATTCATAATAATATAAGAAAAATCAAAAACCAACAACCCTCCCTAATTGCGCCAATAGATAATATTTGCTACTAAAACCCAGCATAAATTGAAGTCGTTCACAGACAGAAAAAAATCATACTTTGCAGTAATATACTATAGTGGAATCTAAAATAAATATGGTTAGGTAATAATATGTAGGTAAGCAAAAACCTAAAGTTATCAATTACAGTGAAACCTCTCTTAACGGACACCTCTAAATAGTGGACACATCCGACCTCCAAATAGAGGATTTTTTTTTTCGGGAACGGAGACATCTATTTGTAAATACGAAAACATCTAAATACAGAACACTCTAAATAGCGGACACTTATAAACATTGGTATTGATCGTTTTTATCGTAAATTAAGAATAATTGTAGAATACCTAAATACAAGTCTACACTATATTGAGTTATCTTTTATTAGGTATTATAAATTACTGTACTGTGCATGACGTATATCTTATGTTATCCGTCCAGTCGTTGACATATTATTATTGCGTCGATGAAATGTAACTTGATGTATTTAGTTAATGTAAAAATGAAATAAAATAAAATGTATTTAATTAATTAATTAAATAAAAATGCGATTTCACCCTTTAACGGATAACGGATACCTCTAAATAGCGAAATTTCAGCTACCGAGAGCGTCCGGTATTTAGAGGTTCCACTGTATTTTCCAGCGCTAATCCTGTACGTCTTACACTCGTGGTCAGGACATTATATACATTTTTCAACATTTTAACATTTATGAATGATATACGAATTTGTGTCAATGTCCCCAGCGAAGGATACCTTCAGGTTCCGCGTTTACGGAATCGATAACATAATAAAATGTGTAATAAAACCGATTGTATAAATAGCAAATATCCGCATCGATCAATGACATTTATTGTTATCCGAAGAACGAAAAATGTCCCTTTGTTAGAAACGAGGAGAGGAACTAGTTCCATTCTGCAATCCTGGAACGATTCGGGAATTAGTCGGGCTTGAACAATTCGAACGTTGAACGTTGAATTTATTTTTAAAAGGAAATCTCCGAGCACTACCGATAACAGTGGCATAGCTACGTGTAATCTGTGTAACGGAAGTCTTAACGAATTTATCGATTATGGCGCAAAAACTAGAGGGAATTGTTTCGGGTACCGATTAGGTGTTTAACATAATTGCGATAATTGGACGATAACAGACTGTACACGCACGTACTCGTAACGCGTATCGGCACGCGGTCGTAGTTTATTTTTCATATTACATCCGAATAGTATCGCCGCCGAACGAATATCAAAACAGTACCGCGTCGCTTGTATCGCCCGGGGCGGACGCGTTTCGTCTGCGCGTTTTTACCGCTTTATGTGGGCACGTGTCGTCGATATTATTTCAATTAGCATAATAACGATAATCGCGTCTGCAGAATATTCCGTTGGACGGCGAGGAGATTTCGTGCGATTATGCGTTTCGGAAACGAACCCCGCCCATAGTTTCCACAGCCTTTGTCGGTATTACATAGAGTACACCGGCGCACGTAATACCCACCCCGCTGTCCGTGTCCCTGCTGCCCTACGCCACCCCAGTAGCCCCGGCGGGTACTACGGCTCAGTGTTTACAAGACCAGATTTCGCATTTTACTAATTAAATATTTATATCCATTATGACCGACTACACTCGTACATTATTGTAGTAGCCCGTGTCTCCGTTCGTCCCGCGCGGTGCCTGGGCGAAATGTTCCCCCTGATGTTAAATTAGTTTCGTGTATTAATTATTGTTATCAGAGTAACGGCGCGGGGGAAAGAACGGGGGCCGGCGCTGCGGCCGCTGTTAACACGCGAAAATCCGCGCAAAAGTTCTCTCCGGCTCGGAAATTCTTACGTTTATCCGATTTAGACATCATTGTGCTATACAAGTTTACGTTTGCGGCCCGCGGGCGCACTACCAAGTTGTCAGAAAAATGATAAGGGAATCATATTAATATTGTAGCCGCGGCAGATTGCAACAACAAAGTCGAACAAAAAGTCCGCCCCGTCCCGACCCGATAAAACCCGATAAAATGTTGTTTAAAAATATACGGTATGAGTGTTCGAGTACTTATAAAAACAAAACGAATTAAGAACATGTACGGCGGTAACGATTCGAGATATTGTGTATTCGAGGTTAATTTCGGATGGCACAACAATAAGAAAACCATAGATATTTATGTGACTTTAGATGTTTATAAAAATATGACCGACTATTAGTTGGGTACCTTCTCGTTTTATATAATACGATAAAATATACACCTATTATCTGAGAATAGTTGTGTCAAAACCTAAATGACGAGGGTTAAACGGGTAACTTTTAAGGCAAAACCATAGTGGTACTTTTAAAATCAATAGCTGCCTGTTTAATAATTCGCGAAGGCAACAAAATCGACTATACAGTTCAACACGGGTTTTGTATAATATTTTCAACTCATGTCAAAATTATTAAAAATAAACAAATTTTTAGAGCATTTTTTTAGGGATTGTCTAGAACCGTAATGGCATAAGAACATTTGTATAATGGCATTTTTGTGGTTTTATAGTGCATTACATGTACAGCCATACTGAAAACATATACAAACTATGCAATGGCAACACCAACCTTACACTTGCTATGACCACCCTATAATATAGCACAATACCTAATTAAACTATTTACCCATTAACAAATGAGTACTGCAAACGTGTATAGCAGTGGCTCTAACGTTAACTCTAATCCAATTGATAAACCCGAGTAATATTTTGGAATAGAAAGGAAAAGTGGGGTGGTCATTTTTAATGCTTAGCTTACAAATTTACAAATTTCAACATGTCCAATCATTAAAATAGGTGAATATATAGTAAATTCACATATATTCACTATACAGGGTGGTCAACATAACGCAAGACGCTCATTGTCTGGAAAAGTATACACTGTATATTCGGAGCAGAATATGTTGAATAGAACATTTTCAGAAACCACCAGCCTCTCTAAAATTTTACATTTATATTTTGTAACCGTTTTTTGGGAGGATTTCGAGACCAATACCTACTTTTTACTTTTAAACAGCAACTTATATTAACAGAATATCATAAATAGATGAAGTATTAGTTTAAATGCATTTTGGTGTTGACATTTTATGTTTCCGTCAACCTGTTGACGAAATATACCACTATTATGTCTGCGAGAGTGTAATATGGAGCACTATTCAAACGTCACGCGACGTACGGCCACACAAATAATGTTTCTTTACTCTCTCCCCATCCAGACTTTAAAGTAAATTAGCTTGTCAACGGGTCGAAGACAGTTAAAAATGTCAACACATAGTTTTGATTTATAGAATTTTTAATACCATTTTCTATTTGAAAATTGAAATTCGGCATTGGTTCCGTGCCCTAAAATAAGGGTAAAAATAACAAAAATGTAAAATTGTAGAGCTAATCATTTATCAAATGACCAAAAAAAAAAAAAAAAACTAATTCCGAAAAATGTTAATATGCTTCCCCGAAATAATGAGCGTTTTGCGTTTTATTGGTCACTCTGTATACGCGCGTTTTAACAACGAAGGCGTCTACTGTTTTTAAAACTGAGAATATTTCACCTAATGAAAAAGTCTGTCCATGCCTATATTAACTTATAAGTACTTATTTAAACGAATACGCAGGACTTACAAACGAGTATGTATTATTATTTATTATAATAACATAACATATTACGAATCGGCATCAGTGCCGTAGCGAAAGGGGGTGTTTTGGTGTTCAAACACCTCCCCCTTTGACTATAGTTTTGCCAACAACGTTATATTTTTTACAATATGCAGTTTTGCATCAGACATATTGTGTTACGCATAGATAATTATTTAATATATTTTAATACGTGTGTTACATGCGCCCGATAAAAGTCACTATGTTACATCGAAACACAAAATAAAAACAACCGTTAAGAAAAAAAAAATTCTGGTTACGCCACCGATTGGCCGATTATACCAACACTGTTCACAGAAAAACGCGTTTGATCTCTGTAATTGTTATTCCAACGGGGTTTCCCGTTATTTTCGATGAATCTTAATTTGATATTTTCAATATTTAATGCCGCAACGCACTTTTCACGGTATAAATTACCGCGGAATAATGAGGAACGGCCGATAGCGAAGTATACAATCGAGTGAACGTTTTAAAATCGAAAAACATTGCCAAGACGGGACCGTGAGAGTTGAGCATTCGTCAACGCGACGATATTGTATTAATACGGCACTCGTTTTCGAAACTCGAGAGTTGAAAATCGTATCGGATATTTGTTTTTATTATGCAATCAATAATATTTGTTGACCCGAAATTGTATAATTGTCTGCGCAAAGTTGTGTGCTTCGGGATTATTGTTTATACAATATCGCTTATAAAAGTGTATTCGGTCGGAATCGCATTTTATGTTAATATTAATAATAATACGCGATGTTCGGGCGTCGTTTTAAAATGTATACCGCGAACGGCAATGATAATATTTACCCGGGCGGAATCGGGAAATACTATGGAAACTCGAAAGTTTATAAATGCGTCATCTCCCGTCCCGACGTTTCCAGTTTAATGAAATTACAATAATACACGTTATATTGTTCTCTTCGATAAATATACATGTATATCATAATATGCATTATGCACACCGCGAGTAGTTCCGTCTGCAGTCAAGAACAACCGTTTTAGGTACAATATTGCGTACGATTATTTATCCCGAGTTTACGTTGCGTTTCGTTAAACATATTATTATTATTATATTTATCAGCCGAGGACCGGAGGCGCCGGAATTATTACGATATTATTGCGTCGTACCGATTTCGTAACGTATGCGGTTTTCTTCTTTAATTTTATTATTTTTTTTTTTTAGATCCTGAGCGCAGAGAGAAACGTATTGATATTACTGTGACGTGCCGCGTGCGTGTGTGCGTACATGTTTTTCGTTAGCAATGGTTTTTCGTTGCTTACAGCTGATGTACATGACATTTTCCCTCTACTACCTCCCCAACTATCCCCACCAACAACGGTGGCTGCGTCCGCGTGCGAAGTTGCCCACCTTATTCTCTTTAATTAATTTTAGCGATATTATTACAGGCGGGGATTCCGACTCGTTGGCCGCAAACGAAACGTGATTTCTTACTACACGCGCAAAAAACTCGGTTGCGATTCCGCGGATATCATACCGCGATAACAGTATAACCTAACCGCGGGTTACCGGGTGTATACGGATCCAATATTATTGTTGTCAGTGTACGAACAACAGTAGTTGTAGGCGTCGATCGGTGCAATATACGATAATAACGCAAAACGCAATTTCGCGTTATAACAACATCCGGTGACACGTATAAATCCATTTTCGTCGCTGCTAAACGCACGCGTTTCAATAATATTATCTACCGTTTTGCATACAGTGCGTAACGTTACTGTGATGGCGTGCGCCGTCTCCGGCACGCGTTCATCGTTACCTCGCGTTTATACGCCCACACGCAATGTTTAACACCCCCGTGTTAGTGATAATAATAATACGGCTAAGTACGTGATGCGTTATTACGGGTTCGCGAGCTTTCGTTTTATCGATTCGTCGTGATCGTCTCACTTGATCCCGGAACGATCACGATCGCAGTGGCGCGCGTGGGGGGGGGCGATAGTTTGGTGTTATACCCCCTACCCCGCCATTGGCTTAAGAACACAAACAAATATGAGTAATCTAATATCGAGAAACGCATAATATATTTCAGCCGAGTTACGAGGAAAAATTCGATAACGCATTGATTAGAAAAAGGCGTGTTTTTTAAGGATCCGGCTTTTAAATTGCCCGAGTCCCACAGTCGAGTTTGACGGAAAAGACGATTAGACAATTCATTCACGATTCTTATTGTCGCTAGATCACCACCCATTGAATATTCCACGCCGCCGTGCGATCGTATTAATTACAGTGCGGACAGCGTGTGTCGCGTAGCCGGTAATAATATACTCATATTTATTACCCGTTCCGATGTATCGGCAAGCGTCGACTTTTTTCGGGCATATCCTCACCCAATCTCCATCTAGGGGCATTTTCGAAACAAATAGCTCTACTACAACGTGACGTTACCAGCTCCTTTTCTGTTTTCCGCCGCCCTTATTTTCGGGGGTTTTAACTCGAGATGTCCCGGATAGGTTTATGAACCGGGCGCCGAGCGCCGATTACTTGTCTTTCTATTTTATTAAGAACGTCTGCTGGACGATTATGTACGCCTGTTGAATTCTAAACAAATTTGTTTTCTAGGTCCGTGAAAATAAACGCCGTGCAATTTTTACTGGAACAGCGCCATTTGAAAAATTGATCGCATTTACGGAATCCATATTTGTATCCATCAACCAAAGCTTGTTCTTTATTTCTTTCGGACATAATGACACAAGCTTCCAAATTATCCATAATATTAACACGGTAAACGATATAAACACTTTTGTGTTTAAACTACAACACAATGCAACAAAAACTGACGCGTCCCAACTTCCAAAATCAGGTAAACTCTATCTCGGCCTCCGTCTGAAAATTTCTAACTGCGAATGATTAGATATGATTATATATCAGTCTACCAAAAACCTGTTCATAAACCTTAACTGTTCAAATATGTATTTTTCGTCAATTAGCAAAAATTAAATAGATAATCTAACCGGTTATCGTAACCGCTACAATAAATAGAAACAAACCGAAATAAATGCGATCTATGTCTCAGTTCTTCATCCTGTAAAAATATTAATTATCAAACGATTTTTTTTTTTTTCAGGCAACAAAAAATAATATATTTCATTTTTAACACGTTTGATTACTCTCATTAGGCAGACCACCGGACATTTGCCTGGTTGCCCAGCAACCCTTAATATCTATATTTTTTTTTGTAAGAACTTAAAATACCATTGATAGTACTATTATATTAAATTTATTATTATTGAAAACGATCAATATTTTCTTTGTTTGGACCGTTTTTATAACTTTATTTTTTTGGAGCTATGATTCCTTCTATTTGTGCTTTTAGTTGCTGGTTGGTTCGTTCTAAAAAATTGATCTCATCATTGTGTCTTTGCTGTTCGGCAATTCGTTGTTCCGTCCCTTGTCGTTGAGCTATTTCATACTTTGCAATCGCTATTGCTAAATTATCTTCAGTTTTCTGCTTAATAGCTTCCATTTCAGTCAATCGATCTTGCATGTCTAGCATATTGAGTTCTGCAGACAATGATTTTTTTATTCTAATTTCTTTTGTATTCTCATATAATAACCGATACGCGTCCATTGTCATTTTAAACTCATCGCGAACTTTAACTAATAAAAGTCCACTTTCTGCACAATTGATAGTAATCTAAAAATGCATATTTTGTAAAAAATAAACATATTTAATAATATCTAAAGTTCTAATAGTTTTTTATTTAATGTATAACTAACCTGACGAATCATCTCATCAAAACACTGAGAGTAGAGAGCTCTTCTAGTTGGACAAATACCTGTTTCTCGTGCCTGCAAATGTTGTAAACTCATATTCATCATTTCTGTCAATTTAATTACATCCATTCTAGTAGCTGGCTGACTTGAAACTTTTTGTCTCCATAGATTTCCATTTGCTTCCCATTCTCTTGGTGGTATAATACAGTTAAGAATTTCATCGGATTCTTTAATTTTTTGGTTTGATACTAAACCGTCTTTCCCTTTGAGTTTCTATTAATTATTTAATTAATTAATCTTATCAACAACATACCGATTAGATTTGATTATTCACGAACCTTTTTAGGTAGTTTTTCTTCGCGTTGAGTAACTAATACAGGAGTATCATAGCGTACCAAATTTATCTCCAATGGTACTATTCTTTCTGCCATTATATAAACTTGACGTTTTTTGTTTTTTATACTTGTGAAAATAATCTAAACTCAGTCAGTTATTTTATTTAATATTGAGTCACATAAAACTTAAATAAAATAATATATTTTATATCAGTTGTCATAGTAAATTACAGTCATTAATACACAATACACGAGTTCATGTAATGATGATAATCATAATAAAAATTTAAAAATCTTATTTCTAATTTGTTTATTATAAATACTATATTATAAAATAACTATTCCTGTTTCGTTTTTTTTAAATAATTAATATAAATAATACAATAATTTATTAAATATTATCATTAAGAAATTTACTTTTTCATAAAAAAATTATTGTTCCTATATTTATTACAAATTTGCAAAATTAGTTTAAAATATAATGTTTTTTTATCTCTCCAACATTGCAAACGAACCCTAATTAAATTATTAATTTTGTTTATGATGTATTATTTGACTTGTATTTGATTATTTTGTTTAAATTTTAGTTTGATGTATTTTTTAGAGGCGAATACGAGAGAATGGAAAATACAGGGAACCGGAGCAAAGCATCCAATGCTTAAGATAGATTTTTCTATGATTTAACATGGTTAATAGTCCATTTTAGGCAGATTAAATGTAGATGTAAAATATAATTTTAACCCAGTTTCAATTTTACTAGATCTCGTTTTGACACATTTTTGGGAAATATAGATTATTCTGCTTTGCTTCTAAATATCCACTTAAAATATAATGATAAAGAAATACATAGTGTCTATAGACATCAGTTGTTCGAAATAAAGGTATGCTTAATAATAATTATTTGTAAAATTTTTGTATATTTAAGTTACATTAAAAACTCTTGTAAATTAAATTTAGGCTCAGTTTTTGGGGGTTGAAACAAGGAATAAGTAGGTATACGGAAACCGAGTAAAGCATCCAATGTTATTAGTTTATACGTTTTTAATCGATACGGTCGGGATAAAGACGTTTTCTTGTAAAATGTCTAGAGGTTAGTTTTTTATGTGCGTAAGCCACTTACCGTTAATCGATTGGTAGTAGCGGGAGTTTAGAGGTGATTTTAACACCAACTCAATAGTACTCGATCTCGTTTCAAACGTTTTTGGAAAAGTATGGACTTAATTAAAATTGATTATTATTTACAACGACGTAGCGTCCAGGTTTAGTTATTTTAATATCTTCAATTTAAGTTATCCATCAGAAGTATCCCTTCAATCGAAAAATAACAAGAGATCGATTTTGTTTCTTTTAACAAGATTATGCATGATATACGATAATAACCTAACCCCACGATAATATACGAAATATACGATTTTTTTCACAATTTCATTGTTTTAAATTTGTACAGCTTATGTTTTCCACCATAATGTATTGATCCAATAAAAAACATCGAGAGTTATTTTTTTTTTTTGTTAATTTTTAATCTTGTTGGTGAACGAGAGAGTCGTCTTTGTAGTTTTTGTAATAATTGAGTAAAACCGAAAAATAAATCCAGAAAGTATGGGAAGATTTACGAAACTTTGTGTATTTGTAATTCAGTTAAAACTATTTGTAGAGACTTTTTGAGAGAAATTTTGACAGGAAAATTATATTTATTTTTTCTGGAGGCGCGAAAACTTTCAGAACATTTGAGCAATTTTGGAGTTATTTAGAGACATTTTAATTTTGAGATTCTTTTAAGTAATTTTTATTTGGTAGGTATTCTGTAGATAAATTATTAGACTTAATAGAAACGCTTGAAAACTTGATAGAAAGTTCATTATAATTCGTATTTAGTGGTCAATAAAAACAATTTAGATTAATGCAGTATTTTTTTTTTTTTTTTTTTATGTTTTAAATTTAAATTTTGACGAAATCGTAAATATTATGGCCTTTCAAAATGTGTGTAACTGAACTTCGCTCCAAATCGTTTTTCGTTATCAATGGTTTATTTTTGGTTACAGGTATAAAAAACTTTATGTATCCGACCTTCTCCACTACCCACCGACAGCAGTATTGGTATCCGTCCCCAATATCAACTCTTTTTCGTGTTTGAATATACCTTTTTTAATGTTTTTCCTGTCAAAGTACTCTTGTAAAACTTACTATTTTTAAAACCTGTGATACACAACCCCTCCCCTTATCTCATTAATTTCATTGGTATACGTACGAATAACGTAGTATATATTTATCCCATCAATCAATTTTACCGAGTAGGTTACAATAGCGTAGGAAATAATTAACCCCTGTATGTATTTTACCGACGATGTAAGAATAACCTACGCAATTCTTATCCCCCTCCGTTAATTTCATTCGTAGACGTAAGAATAATATAACACATATTTTTACCCTCATCAATCAATTTACCGGAGAGGTTACAACAGCACAGGAAATACATATCCCTTTAGTGCATTTCTACTAATGACGGAAAAATAACATTGGAAATACTTACCTCCTCTGTGCATTTTATTCCTAGACGCGTGTACCGAACATGTATGGAAACGTAGAATATGTTTTTCGGGAAAGGAGTAGGGTAGTAATATACCCCGCACGTGTGCGTACTAGTATATATTTACTCTGGTAAAATATACTTGTATTTATTTACCCCCGTGTATGCTAATCTTTATAAGGAGGGGTATTTTACATCATCGGATATTTTCACTCGGGGTGAGAATTAATTAGTATATTTTTACTGGGGGTAAGGAGGGGCAGTAAATATATTAAATTGATAAGAATAGCCTGTTACACCGGAGGTCGTGACGTATAACACATATACATGACGTATTTTATATAATAGAAAAAATAATATGCCCAGTGACGAAACAAACCTAAAATGAATAACTCATAAAAAACGTATACATTATAACCTGCTTGGCCGTCTAAATTAAATTAAATTAATCGCAAAACGAGCGTTAATATTTAAATTGTTTTCGAGTTGAACGCCCGCCTAAATCTTTAAATCGACCGAAATAATAACGCGCGAATATCATTAAACAATAAATAAAATGTATTTTTCATTCAAAAAAGCAACTCGAAATTCAATTAAAATTAAAAAAATAAAATATTCCCTGACATGCGTTAAAAACGTAATATTTTTAAAAATCTTAATTACAATCAATGAATACATAGTCGTGCAATACTCATGCGAATCTACAGAAAAATAATTTACCGACCGTTAATTTCGAAAAACTTCGAGAGAAAACTTTATTACGATCAAACGGCCCCTTGTCTTTGTCTTAATCTCCGGTTAATTTCTCGAGAATTGTATATTCCGGGATTGTAGATTTCGGAATTTCACACCTTTTTTATTTTTAGACATCGTTTGTTTTATGTCGGACACTTCAAGCTTTTTAATAATGGCGAGATTGGCAATCGGTAAGTATTTAGAAATCGCTACTCTGGGACCATTGATTTTGATTTGAGTCGGTTCCATGTGTATCGTTGTTATCTTACTGTCCATAAATTCGAGACCCGATAGCGGGTTTTGCGGGCAATTGGTGCCGTACGGTACAATGTCGTCAATCGCGCCTTCCAATTTCCGTTGTTCTCTAGACTCCACCAGTTTTGTCCACAGCTCTGGCGACCGCAAAGCCGAATTCACGCCGTCGCTCAAGACTTTGATCGTAGTAAAAGACGCTTGCCGTCTGACTTCGCTGGGAATTATGAACTCCGTCATATTTACCACGCCGATCCTCGAAATGGACGGCCACCGAGAGCCTAAATTTTAATAATACATTTCGCCTGCCGTGGCATACCGCAACGAAAAAGGTCGTACCCTTAAAGTTGTATATTCAAAGTCGCGTATTTTTTTCAGCACCGTCCACGAAAAACGTGGTATTTCCATACTCGTCCAATAGATGAGATCAGAAGTTGGACAAAGTGAAACATGACCTTTTTCGTCGCGGCAGGCGTCTTTTGACTACGGTGAAAGTCGAAAGACGCCGCCTGCCTGTGCAGTATAAAAACGTAGGAACCGCGAAACTCACCTAAAGTGCCCACGTAGTGCCCGGCCAACGTCCAGATCCGGATGTTCCTGTCAGCGCTGCTGGTCACCAGTAGCTCCTGTTCGTCAATGTAATCGATGTGACGGATGCACTGTACGTGAGCCTTGTACGAGCTGAACAACAGCGGCCCGGACGGGTTTTTAATGGCGGCGCGCTCGGCTCGGCCGATGAACATGGACGCCAACAAGAACGGGAACCGCTGCCGCAACTTCGGCATGGACAACGGTTGGACGACCGTGACGGGGCGGCCGAAGTTCGCGATGTGCCACGTTTTCACGTAGCCGCTGTAAAAGCTAGTGAACAGGTAATCGTTTTTCGGGTCCGAAGCCATGGCCGTCACGTAATCGTCGTCCAGGTGTATGGCCGTGAACTGCGCAACGTACTTTGGCACCTTGTACGTGGACCATAGCTGCACCATGCCGTTGCGGACGGATATGAACAGGGTGCCCACCCGTTCGGCATCCGGCCTGGCCCGCAGGAACATGGACGCGACGGCCGCGAAATGCCCCTTGGGCGTGTACTTGATGTTCAGTCTCCTGTACGTCTCCTCCCTGGTCTCCGCCGGGTTGGCGCCGTCCGCGATACTCCGGGACGACCGGCTGTTGTACGATATGGAGCTCGGCGATACCGTGCTCATCTTGCTCGCCGAGGTCGACGATTTCGAGTGCTTCATACTGCTGTCCGACCTCAGCCGTGCTTTGTGTATCTTGATCAGTTGGCCCGTCTCTAGCCGCCAGAAACCGATTTCGCCGGCGAGCGACGTGGTCACGAACAGCGAAGGCAGTTTTCCGCACGCGCTCAGCGCCGCGTCGTCGTGACTCGACAGCCACACTTTTCCGCTGGACACCAACAACGGTTCATTGAACTCGGTCACCTTGCCGTCCCAGCTCGTTATCAGCACCTATATTATACTATATAGAATGCGTATGGTGTACGGTGTACCGGTTAGGTTAGGCGGTTATCAATTTTAAAAGCTCTCTAGAAAATAACTGCGTTCGCGGATCTTTTAATTTCACTGGCCGATGGTTAAAACTGATCGGTTTTAATCATTGCCGTTCAATTTTTAAAAACGACTAAAAAAAAAAAAAAATTGTCGACTCCGTGACACACGCGATATAATACGATTTCGCATTGACAGTTGTTCCGTAATTTAATCTGTACGTAAAAAAGGAGAAACCCGTTCACTCATTCGCTCAATCACTGATCCAGTGGCGCCACCGAACATTAATGCTAATGTCGGGCTGTAGTTGAGATTCGACAGTTTCACAATGGACTGTAGGCGTCCATCGAGAAACATCCTCTTTGACAGTGGTTTGGGCTCGTACAGCCGGTTTCGGAAAACATGGACATTTTTTTCGAATGGAAAACTGCCTGCGGTAGGCATACACTCGGACCGAAATAATAGCCTCCCCGGAGGTCTAAATGCTTCCCGATGAGGAAGCCCTCGGAAGATATTAAACACATACTATGTGCAGACACATAAACTGCACACGGGTGAAGTGGCGAATAAAACCGCGGGTAATAAAGCTATGTACGAGTGCGAAAAAAAATCACTTCTAAAACGAGTGGAACCCCCAGGCGGGTAACTACTCCGCTCGATGGACAGATATAAATTGCCGGTGAAGGTCATCGACACACGCACCTTGTTGGGCAGCCAGACGATATCGGATATCCGGTTGCGGGACGGAATGTGCAGACGGTTCAGACACGTGCCCCTGTTCGGGTCCCACATGTGAACGGTACCGTTTACGGCTCCGGTGACCAGCAGCCCACCGGACGGGTCTAAAGTGGCGGCCGTGATCTCGACCGGAATCGTTTCGCCGTACACTTGCTTGTTGTGCGCCATGGACCATTTGTGGATCTGCTGGCCGGTAAACGGGTTCCACACCGCGATAGTGGAATCCAGGGTCGACACGGATATCAACACACGGAACAGTCGACAGTACATGGTCTTTAGGACGGCCTCGTCGTGGGAATCGCTTTCTACGACGCTGTTGTCGGTGGCCGTGTCCGCGCACTTGATCGTCAAGAACTCGTCGCCGACGGCCATCACGATCTTCTGTTCGCACTGATTGAAATGGGTGGGCACGAATTTCAGGCCAATCGCTTTCGTCATAACGGCTGCCTTGACGAACGTCAGTACGCACGCGATGCTGTTGACGTCCCATATTTTCACGGTGCGGTCCGCGGACACTGAGTACAAGCGACAGTTGGTGTAGTTGTAGAAGAGGTGGTGGATGGCCGTGTCGTGGCCCAGGAGCTGGGCGCTCTTAGGGTTCCCGTCGGAGAAGCATTCGTCGAAATCTAACAGCCGCACCATCAGGTCCACACCTCCGACGGCCACCAAGCCTTTACCCGCCGAACAAACGCAAAACAATCGGTCCGGCACCGACACGTAACGGTTGATCGGCGTGGGTTTGTCTCGTTTCTTAGTGGCCTTGGCGCCGACCCAGCAATACGCGATCGACTTGCTGGGCGCGTAGGATATGGACACTAAGAACTTGCCGGAGTCGCAGAACTCCATCTGTTCCACACCGGCCGGGTGCAGCCGGGGGAACCGGACCAAATTAATGGTCGTCAAACTGTACTCGTTCGCTTCGCCGAACGTCATGTTGGTATAGCTGAACGACCGTGGCGCGCCCGTGGTGCCGACTCGCCCACGGAACGGGTTCTTCTTCTCCGACACCGGGAATTTAAACGTGTGCACCGTGCCCCCTCTGTCACCGACCGCCATCATCGAACCGGACTTGGTGTTCTGCGAATACGCGAGACACTTAATGGTGTGCGGCCAATCCGTGATACTCAGGCACAGTTCGAACTTTGTCGACACGTAGAACTTGAGCGTCTGATCCTCGGTGAACAAACACACGACGTTGAAATCCGCCAGCGTCAGTATACAGGTTATCTTTATGCACGGCTAATATAGGAAAAATAATTTCTCGCTGATCGATGCGTTTTAATAATCGGCGGTGTCGGCGAGTTGCGGCCCGAGCTCGCGAGAGAACCGTACGAATTGCGGCCACGTGACAATTATCGCTTAATGCCAGACCGTTAGCGTTACTCAGGTGAAATCACGCGTAGTTTTACTGAGTCGTCGCCCAAAAGTGTGTGTGTGTGTGTGTGTTTTTTTTTTCCTAACGACGAGGTTTTTCGCCATTTTTAGTATTATTTTAGATTATCGATTGGACGAAAACTCAACAATTTAACGAAACCAAACTGACCAATTTCTTGTTGTACCAGCTCTCTCGACTGCTGTCTGATAAACGCTTTTTTTACATAAATTTCCCTGGTTTTTGATCCATCACTTCTGGATTTTATACAAGACTCGGATTTGATTTCAATAAATATATCAACTATACATCCATCAATAGATATTTAGAATGACACTGATGTAAAACGACGTGTTTCGTAACGAGTGAAAACCTAACGCGGTTTATTATGTTACAATAAAATGTACAACGAAGGGGTTTCTCGGGCCGCGACTAAACTACAGCCAAACGGTTTACCGGGCCGGTATTCGCCGTTCTCGGCATCGAAAATAACACGCCACGCCGCAACTCACCAGCAGCCGCTATATTATGATGCGAGAGATTAGAATTTAAAACAAACGGGTGTTGTTGAGTGATTTCCAAACAATAGTATCCAGAAAATAGTTTTAAATATTCGATCTGAGGCATTTCACTATAATACACTAAAATCCACTATTATATGCATTTGTATTGGTATTAAAGGATCGGTTTCAATTATGTATGTGTTCAGTACGTGTATACGTATACATATTTGTGTATACAACTTTGTTTAACGGTATATTGTTGTATTAGTGTCTCGGGGATACTTTCTTTATTGGAGTGCATAACAAAAAGAACACAGATGATAATTGCGATGGGCGTGTGTGCCAGTGTTCTAGATGGGAGAAATGCGCGCGTCATAACGAAGCCAATACATCCCTCGCTTGCGCACGGAGTATGCGATTTCCGTTGACAGCGGCACACGGCCGTGTAGGACCTTTCCGTTCGTTACTGATGGTACTCGCGTTCACACAAAAGTCAGGCTATGAAATCGAATTTTTGTCCTATAAACACTATGTTGAGAACTATCTCTGGTCGGTTGGCGACTTTTCACGGTACAGAACCTTTTCGTTATCTGTATTTTCTTTATGAAAAAACTTGCAAAAATCTGAAATTGCCCGAAACGCATAGTCTTAAAAACGCGAATAGAACGATATAAAACAAATTGAAAGCGCCAGTGTCACCCTTACAAAGCCGCACTATAACATACAACACTACCGACTAACCATATATTTAGAGTATGAACGTATGTGTGTGTGTGAGCGTGTGTGCGTGTGTGTGTGTGTGTGTGTGTGTGTGTATGCTATACGTTGATAGTTATTTTAATATTAAATGTCAATTTGTCAATGCTGACAGCCGACTGCCAGCCAAATTAATATTTTTGAATTTTATTACACTAACGTAATTAACATAATATTATACATATTATTATTATTATTATTATTATAATATTTACATTATATTTTCGGTCATTTGAGTCAAATTTATGTGATTTCCATTACGAGCAAATAAAACTTGTAAACTATATACCTACAATTATACCATTTAAGCTCACGAATAATTCGAGAATAATTCTGGTTCCCAGCCTATAATATTCAGCGACGCGTCCACTACGAGAGTAGGCGTTTGCGAAATCCTCGCGCGGGAATTTTCGTTTCCGATACCGGACACCAAATATCATACGTATTAGCGTAATAGCATACGGAATTACCTTAGAACACTTGTGTGTGACTTTCCAATTTAATTCTGACGTGTACACCAAAATGTCTCCCATCTCGCTGATAACCACGTATTTGCCCTTGCGATCCATCAGCGTGGAGAACACTATCTCCGTTATCTTGTGTAGTTTGTTTTTGTTGTCTACGATCGGTTTGTTCGGCAACAATTTCGGCGTCAGTTTCAACGTCGATATCCCCGAATTTTGTTCGTTTCGTTTGCGCTTCAACTCGGACTCGGTCGACAAATAAGTGACAAACTGTAAAAACGTGATGTAGCCTTCTTTTTTAACATCTATTTTAGCGAACATCGATTTGAAATCATCGTCCAACAAAAAGATTTTGTACTTGGATTCCAACATTTCGCGAAATTTGACGACGTTCATTGTCCCGTTCTCGTTCAGTTGAAAATCCTCCCGGATTTTCTCCAGCGTCTTATCGTTGATGGCCAATTTCGTCAGATATATTTTCATCCCGTTAATTTCCTCCGTGTTTTCGTTTTGCATTTCATTGCCGGGGCCATTATCCTGAGAGCAAACTTTGTGTATTCATAATGCCATTATATTCAATATACGATTACTATGTTGTGTACAGTAAAAATAATAAAATAGAATGTAAGGTGCCCGACAAAAATACACGAACGGAAATTTTGTTCACATTTTGGGTTTGAATCGTTTTCCGGGAGAAAAGAAAATGACCATTTACTCCGATAAATCATAAGCGTTTCGAGAATCGTTTTATACGAACGGAAATGGTATAACAGGAGGTCGTATTCAAAACGAAACGGGACACGCGTGAGACGATAAAAAATTATCTAAATAATGTATTATGGTTGGAAAAAAAAAATAAAAAAATAGAAAACATATAAACTGAACGGGATATTATGTCCGTCGGCATTATCGTTGTATAAAGACGGGAGTGGTACGGAAAAAATACAACGCGGATAGTACGGTTCGACCCATACAATGTCCGTACGAAGCGCGTTTCGTACAAGAAATCGGTGGTTTTCGAACGTGGCGGTTTCGCACGCGCGCCTTGAGACGACACGCGTACCCGTTCGGTTAGCAAACGGACGCCGGTCGCGACAGCATTCGTTTGCGTGTTTACGGTTGTCCGAGCGCATTCGAAACATCCCGGACATTTGAAAATCGCGTTGATTGTCGCGCTCGCGATTCGTTCCCCGAACGCGACACACGCGAAATACGGACGGGATCCGTCGGGCAGACACGAGAAGCGTGCGGTGTAGACCACACCGCGAGCGACGGAACGGTTTTGGAAACGGGTCGGCCGCGTTTAAAAACGGCCGTTTAACTTTTCCATCGGCTTTCCGCGCCGGGTCTCCGCGCCAACGGCGGACCACCGCTCGCCAACACGTACGCCCCACGTCGCGCGAACGTTAACACGGCCGTCTTGGAATGCTCGAACCCGTTCGCTTACCGTTCCGTCGCTCGTAATCTGCCGACGAATTTCCCGGCGGCGTTTAGCGCGTGTTTTGCGTTCGGGATACGATTCGCGAGCGCGTATTTAAACAATCGGCGGGATTTCCGACCGCCTAGGGCATTTTAAATTCGCTCAATTAACCGTAAGCGCGGACAAATGCCGCCGTACTGGCATTTAGGGCCGAACAAAAAATGTGCCCCGAGCACTTGCATGCGCTCAAACGGCCATATTTACAGACGGTGGTAAGTCATGCTTTCGAAGCAATTTTATTAATAAACCGAACTGATCATTACTCACTAACACTACATGGTGCGCCATTGAAACAGCTGACGAAGTTATTCAAATACTTTATTACGTTCTCGCGAAACGTATTTTGTAGTACGCAATATCGTAGGTAAAGTTTTGTTCGAAATCAATACAAATGTATGTTTGTATTTCACTTATTTTGCTTTTGTGCTTTTTTTTTTCTTTTTTTTTTTTTCGGTTACTTAGCACCTTGTTATTTTTTGTTGTGTTAGCTTATTATTTTAATATAATTTCACGTGTATAATATTTTATCGATACGTTTGTCTGCGTGTAGGTATTTATAGCGAATATCAAATTGGTATTTTTCGTTTATAGTATTGTTCGTATTAGAAATCCATTACATGGTAATATTATGTGATCATATATTTGTAACAAGAAAAAAAAAACAAATATTTGGAGTGTGAGATAATCTATTACTTAACCCCGTTATTTTGAAAATGCATGTTAGAGAAACATTTATGATGAGAATTGAATTAAGGTAAGTAAGAAAAATATTGAGGAAATATAGAAAATAGTGAAAAAAAGAGGAGATTTCTCCCATTGTCCTCTGGATACACCGCTAATTATTTTACCCGTTTACCTTGTATTATTCAATCATAATAATAAATTAAATAAATAAAATGTACAGTGATTTATATGATAAATCACCATCGATATTATCTTTTTTTTGGCGTTTCGAGCAACATTTACTATGAGTGACTCGTAACCGAACACTCCGGGTCACAATTTCCTCTTAGAAACACACATATGGAATATTATTAAAGACTATTGTTATTGTTTGTTTTTTTTTTTTTTTTTTAAACACGTTTACCATTTGTATCAACCAATTTAATATTGAATATTTTATACTTTTAGATTCTAGGCGGAGCGAGGAATACATCGGTTTTACAACTGCGTGTGCATATTTATTTTCGCGCTTGAACAACTTGTCTACCAGAAATCTTTCTCCATTTGAAAAACGACGAAAAGCCTTTTTGGTAGCATTTTGAATTTACACGAAGCACTAATAAGTTCTTTTAATTTTGTTGTAATTTTCATTATACTTGGAAAAAAACGTATGGACAAATTGGACGAATTTTCTACGATAAAGGTTTCATTGTTTTCCATTTGTTCGATTTTATTTTTCTACCAGAAATCTTGCTCCAAATTTCGTGAATAAAATCGGTATTTACTTAGAGAAAATTTTACAAATATTTTTTTTAAGAAATTTGTTCTAAAAGAAAATTCGGTATGCAAAAAAAATACTTTTATTAGTCTTTTCAATAAGTACGTGGTCAAATTTTCAAAACATTAAGGCAAATTTCGAGCTATTTGTAAACATTTGTCATTTTAATTATTTAGATTTTATTTGCTATTATATGGATTAAATTGTTTCACCGAACAGAAAAACTTGAAAACTAAATACGAATTTATAATTACTCATACTTAGTGGTCCACAAAAAAGAAGTTTAGTGTAATAAAGTCATTTTTTTTAAGATTTTTAAATTTAAATTCTGAAAAACATGGTAAAAATCATGACATTTCAAAACACGTTTAACCGAATTTCGTTTGGAATCGTAATTAGTTGGCAATGATTTATCGTTGCCTACAAATATAAATTAAATTACTCTATGTATCCCACCTTTTTCTGTATCCTTGACTACAACAGAGGCACATCAATCAACATTACCAGATTTTTTTTTCTTTTACTCAATAAAAGTATGTTAAATTTAAAATTTAAAATAGGAATGCATTAATTGATATTCCTGGAATAATCCTCTCATGTTCAATATCAATCACTCCAATTTATGTAATTTTTTAATATAACAATAACAAATTTTAAAAAAATAACATAATATTGTAAAAAAGTAAAAATTATTCAAATTAACTATACTTAGTTAATTGATACGAGAGTTAATTATTTATTCCTTTTTTAACTAATTTAATTTAACTGAGCTTAAATTTTAAAATGAAAACTCCTCCCCCTTAACCACTTTTTCAACAAACATTCGAATAAGAAATATTTTTCTAAAAGTATTATCGGATGTATACAACTGTTAATAAAATATAAATGATTTACAATTAAATCGGAGAAGATCGAGTAAAGTTACTAAATTATGTATCCATGTTTAGATGCAAACACTACAGATAATTATTATAGTTGTATCATCTGGGGATGCTATTTGATAATCAAGAATAGCGTAACTACGGTAAAAGGGTAAAATTTCAAAAATATTGTTAATATGATCAATAAATCATTCTATAGGCAGTATTTTCCCGATAAAATCCAAAACAAATTATACTCGAAATCTTCGTAGATAATTAGATTGCTAGATTTCTGTGATGTACGGATGTCTTCCAAATTCAATGTATTCATGTTGCAGTCAAATTGTTAATGAAATACATATTTTTTCACGTATGCAGAAGTTTTACGAAATCATTTAATCTAAAAAACGTTACATTGTCCTTATAACAACAAAGATGAACACATCCTTGTTTGTGGCAGTATAGCCATTAACCAGTTTTGATTTTTAAATGGCACACAGTATTAGAAAATTCCATAACTTTATACTTTAGTTTAAATATATTATTACGGTATTGAAATTTTAATTTCCATCTATTCTTTTACGAGTTTTTCCACTTTTTAGTTTTGGTAGGCGGAAAGTAGCAGAATATAATTTGTGTGACAGCGCCTTAAACACAATTTATTTATGACATTTTTTTTTATTTAGTTTGCTTTTTGCAAATCAAAAGCAGGTAGTTGTTTCAACTCTATAAATAAGGGTGAACATAATAAAAATTCCTAATGAAATATTTGTTAAATTTGTGATTCCAAAAAGTATTTATAAAAGTAATTTAACAAAAATAAAAATAAGCATTTCGTGGGAAATTTGACTGTAATATGAAATTCATAAGACCCTATTTAATATAATATATTGATAAATTAATAAATTAAATAAACGAAAAAATAAATAAAGTTATTATCATGGCGAAATCGAGTTTTTACTAGCACACATCGCGTGTATGGCACAGAAAATCAGAAATTATGCAACGTTTTAGGTTCCTATAGGTACTATTCCACTTGCGTGTAGTCTATCGATAAAAATAATTATTAATTAGTACCTATTTTTGTGGAAAATTGTACAAGAAAACGACAAAATCGATTGCCGCTCAAACGTAAATGCCAACACTTGGTATCCAGCTGTTGTCGGACTGTGAATAATATAATTTATGAGGGTAAAATATACTTTTTAGTAAAAGTATTTGATCGTAATTTTTATTATTATTATTATATTTTTTAAATTTCTATTTGCGATTATCGAGTATTGTAATTAAAAAATGTTAAGTACTTTTGGGAAAAAAAAATAAAATAAATTATACCCGTGCGTAACGAGACTCCTAATCCCATTCTTTCACCTGATTTGTTTTATAGAAATATTTTCTTAAGGCCATAATATATTTCAACGAATACCTACATATCTTATATTTTCACATTTTTTTTTTTTCGGTTTTTCAAATTTGATGAGAAAACTCCCGAGAAAATTGAAAAATCACTTCTCTGAAATACTTCCCTAGTGAAATTTTCTTTTAGAAACATTGGTATCATAAAAAGTTGAAGCAAAAATGCGAGTTGAAAAGTTGGGCACAGAAAAAAAACGCCCTAAGGTTGGGGTGGATGCAGCCACTGTTATGGATAATTTAATGTATAACCTATAATGATAAACTATTGCTTACGAAAAAACGATTCTGAGCAGAGTTAAGTTGACAGTGTTACTTTGTT